AAAAAAAAAAAAAAAAAAAAAAACATAAGTTGGGTGCGGTGGCTCACACCTGTAATCCCAGCACTTTCGGAGGCCAAGGCAAGCAGATCACCTGAGGCCAGGAGTTGGAGACCAGTCTGGCCAACGTGGTGAAACCCTGTCTCTACTAAAAATACAAAAAAAAATTAGCCAAGCATGGTGGCGTGCACCTGTAATCCCAGCTACTCGGGAGGCTAAGGCAGGGGAGTTGCTTGAACCAGGGAGGTGGAGGTTGCTGTGAGCCAAGATTACACCATTGCACTCTAGCCTGGGCAACAGAGTGAGACTCTGTTTCAAATAAATAAATAAATAAATTAGCTGGCTTGGTGGTGGGCACATGTAGCCCCAGCTACTCGAGAGGCTCAGGTGGGAGAATTGCTTAAACCTGGGAGGTAGAGGCTGCAATGAGCTCAGATCAGGCCACTGCACTCCAGCCTGGGTAACAGAGCGAGACTCCGTCTCAAAAAAAAAAAAAAAAAAAAAAGTTGGATTTGGGGTGAAATCTTAATAGCACTCTTCCTCTTGTCTCTTTTTGCCTGCCTCACCATCTCTGTCTTTTTCTGCATCTCTTCATCTCTGCACGTCCCACCTCTGTGTGTCCGTCTCTGTCTCCTTCTCCATCTGTGCGGGTCTCTGGGTCTCTTGTGCCTCCTTCCACCCACCTTGCTGCGTCTCTGCCTCTCTCGTGGCTCCCCTTCCCTCCTGCAGGGCGATTCTGGGGGGCCTGTGGTGTGCAATGGCTCCCTGCAGGGACTCGTGTCCTGGGGAGATTACCCTTGTGCCCAGCCCAACAGACCTGGCGTCTACACCAACCTCTGCAAGTTCAACAAGTGGATCCAGGAGACCATCCAGGCCAACTCCTGAGTCGTTCGAGGACTTAGCACGCCGACATCCCCACCTGCTAAAGGGACAGCCCCGACACCCCTTTCAGACCCTGGTTCCTTCCCAGCGATGGTGGGAATGAATGTTCCTCTCTCCAGCCCCTGACTCCCTGTCTCCTGGACTCAGGGTCCCCTTCCCCGACAATGGGCTGACCCTGTCTCTCTCTGGTCCCATCCCTTCTCTGCAGCAGTGACCCGAATGCAGTCCCAGAAATAAACTGACTGAGAAGTGGACTCTGTGTGTGTCTCCTCCCTGTGCAGGCTGGCTGTGAGCAAGTCACACGTCCTGCTCCAGGCTGATATGTTTCGTCTAGGAGGTCACTTTTGGGTTGTGAGGAACAGAGGTCCAGTCAAACTACTCATTTTTTCATAAATATTGGCCAGGTGGATAATTTTTTTTTTTTTGAGACAGAGTCTCACTTTGTCACCCAGGCTGGAGTTCGGTGGCGCAACCTCGGCTCACTGCAACCTCCACCTCCCAGGTTCAGGCGACTCTCCTGCCTCAGCCTCCCAGTAACTGGGATTACACACATGCGCCACCAACCCCAGCTAGTTTTTGTATTTTTCGTAGAGACTACCCAAGATACTACCCAAGACTGGGTAATTTATAAAGGAAAGAGGTAACTGACTCATAGTTCAACGTGGCTGAGGAGGCCTCAGGAGACTTACAATCATGGTGGAAGGGGAAGAAAACATGTCCTTCACAGGGCAGCAGAAAGGAGAAGTGCAGAGTGAAGGGGAAAATTGCAAAACCATCGGATCCTGTCAGAACTCACTGCTATCACAAGAATAACACGGGGGGAACCACGCCGATGATCTAATCACCTCCCACGAGATCCCGCCCCCAACACATGGGGATTACGATTCAGATTAAAATTCAAGAAGAGATTTGGGTGGGGACACACAGCCAGGCCACATCACTTACCAAAAGGATATCCGTGAATTTAAATTGGAAAATGTGAAGGCAGAAACAGCTGCCTGTGTGATCTCTATCCCCTCTCCCCTAGTTATGTGTCTCTCACGGTCTCTTTCTTCTCGTCCCACCTGTTTTCTCCTCACATTGACTGCCTGTTGCCCATCAGAGCATCTCCTGTCACCCCTGTAACTGGCTGCAGTTACTGGGTTTTCTTAGTTCATAACCCCTAGAGGGAAAAAATCCAGTTGGCTGTCCTAGGGTCAGACACAGACTCTGTCTCCAGTCAGAAAGGTGGTCCCAAAAAGTGCAACACAGATCCCCCAGCCACCCCTTCATCCATAGCAGTGGGCAGGGCAGGGCCCCTAAGAAGGTTGTGGGCATGGGGGTCACTGAAATAGACAACACATCAATGGACAGACATTTCAGTCTTCAGCGCTGAGTGACCTGTGTAAGGGTCATTTGTACTTTTTCTGGACCTCAGTTTCTCTGTCTGTAAAATGGGAGGATTAAAACATAATGATCTCCACGTGCCAATCCAGCTCTAAGACTCCTCAAGATACTCAGGGGTAGTTATAGAAAGTCACTCCAGAGAATACCTTGGAAACT